ATCCAGTGAAACTACAACTTCAGGCGTAGTAGACTGTGAGGGGTGGTAGATTATGTTAAAAAGTCGCCGTATATTAAAAAAAGGAGAATCTGTTTTTAATGAATCCAGTTTGGTCTGGAGAGATTATAAGTGGGAGTATGGATTCTAGACGTGTGGCCAGGACCTTTGCTAAAATTTTGAAATCTACGGGCAGAAGGGACACAGGGCGGTAGGAGCCACAGGATTGGGGGTCTTTATTTTGTCTTATATTGCAATGTGATAGAGGCCTCACGTAATGTTCTGGGCAAACTACCTGATTCAAATGACTCATTATACATGTTCAATAACATTGGTACCAACTCTGCAGAAAATGTTTTATAAAATTCCACTGGGAACCCGTCAGGGCCAGGGCTTTTGTTAGTTTGTAAAGCAGATATAGCTTTTGCCACCTCCTCAGGAGATAATGGTCTGTCTAGAGACTGCATCGTGGCTTGGTCGATCTGGGGGAGAGCAATATCTGTAAAGAACTGATCCATCTCAAGGAGGGTGGACTTTTGCTCAGAAGTATTATTATAGTATTATTCCAGTATTATTGTAGTATTATTGCATTAACATGTTTTCGCCCATCAGAAATGTTTTGACAATAACTAAATTATATATATTTATCATCACTTTTTAATTTTTAACTGGTTAATACTTCAACTGATCGACTACTGATCGATGAGAAGAGGCAGAGTTATGACAGACACTTTATTTTTACGCTTTAACCTAAAGCAGCTTTATTTACAATCAATCGTGTGACTGATCACCTGACGTCATCACCTTCACTTCAAACAGGTAAAACAGTGACGTCATCCTGTCTCAGAGTCCTCAGGTGTCTCAGGTTTTGGATCTTTTAGCTGGAGGTTCAGGTTTGGAGTTTTGCGGAACCTCTGGCTCTGGCTCCTCCTCCTCCTCTTCATCATCATCATCATCATCATCACTGCCCTCCTCATCCTCATCCTCACCTGCAGCAGGTAAAACAGGTGAGTCATAAAACCTCTTGTGGTCTCACAGAGCAGCTAACAGTTAGCAGCAGTTAGCTCACCGTCTGCGCAGTCTCCGCGGGCTTTTTCCCGCTCCACCAGCTCGCTCAGAAGCCGTGATACGTTCTCGTTCAGCTCGTGAACTCCGTTGATCAGAGAACTCAGATTATTTTCTACTTTAACGCAGATTTTCTGTCTCATCCCGTCTCTGAACTTCAGCTCTGCAGACACTGCCGCCATCTCTACTGCAGACTGACGTCATGACGCACGGTCTGCTGCCTTCAGGAACCCTCCGTAAATTACTCCACTCAGGAATGAACTAATTCAGAAATAAAGAATTCTAGATATATTTCTCTTTGCTCCGCCTTTTATCTCAATGCTCACAATGCTCTCAATGACCGTGTTTACCGGTTTTTATTTTACAAACATGAACTAAAAGAAGACTGAAGTGTAACAGTGGTCACTGACGGTCCCTGAAGGCACCACAGAGGATATTTTCATCATTAGTAATGAAACGGATCAATAATCGTTAATAACCGAAATAAACGTTATTATTGTGTCACGGAATTAAATCTCTTTATTAGTTTGATTTCTGTTTTTGAACTCGGTGACCTCTGACCCCGGTATGCCGCCAAATACGATCTGCGGAAATAAACCGGAAGTTGTAGTTAGGGCTCTCGGCAGCTCGCGCTTTGATAACAAAGGTCTGATCAGCTGATCAGAAGCTGATTATTGGTCGTTATTGACCCGGTTATTGGCTGGTTACAGGCGGATCGTACGGTGTGAACAGTCCGCTTAAAGTCCAGGTTCGGTTCCGGTTCCGGTTCGGTAAGTTTATCCACCGAGCTAGCAGTTAGCATTAGCACGAGCTAACGATGCTAACTGACGTCAGATATATTGATTGTTTTCCTATCAGACTGATCGATACACGCAGAATGAACGTGGCGCTGTTTGTGATGTCATCACGTTTACTACAGTCAATAAAGGCTATACAATCAATAATCAATAGAATCACCCTTCAGATGGCAGTTTGTTCAGACTGAGACTTATTGATTATTGTTTACTGATCAGACAAACCGTAAACATTAATTTGTTTGATCAGGAGGATGTCGGAGGAGATGACGGGCAGGTGACGGAGTGGCGTTCCTCTCCAGCCTCTTGACGTAGGGGCGAGCTCAGAGCCTGCCCTGTAGTAGCCGTTCCGGACGCAGGTGTCCATCAGCTGAGGGATCTCCAGGATTCTCGCAGATCTCAGTGTGTGGGTTCAACGTCAGGCTGTTCATCCTCCGGTCCACAGCCATGCTCCTCCGCCTCCTTCATGAAGCCCCCTGAACAGACAGACGGTAACAGACGGTAAGGAATCATTAAACAGACGGTAAAACAGACGTAAGGAATCAGTAAACAGACCGGTAAACAGTCAGTAACAGTCCAGTAAACAGACGTAAAGGAAACGTAACAGACGTAAACAGA